TCCAAATACAATGTGAATCTCTTTGATAGATGTCTTGCTGAAGTCTGTAATGTATGTTTACTAAGCTTGAAAACTAACTTTTCTGCCTTTTTTCTGAATGATTGTTTTTACATTTTAAACTACCGGATACTGTGTATATCATAAAATCTTCTGGCCCTCTGCATTAAAGGATTCAAGTGAATTCATACTGAAAAAAAATGTTTTGTGCCTTGTGTATTTACTTGTTGAAAACACTCAGTCCTACAAAGCATAGTGACTGTAGTGTCATTGTAAAACAAAAACATAAAATGAGGATAGCCATCTTGGCTATAAACAAAATATCCATAGAAGGTCAATGTTTTTCCTTAGGTTAACGGAAAAGCAGAAAATAAAGTGCAAGTATTTGAAAAGCAAGTTAAAACGCATGTACTTAAAACTTTAAAATGACATATAGCATCAATTAGGTGCTATGATGGTTGCTGTTGGAATAAAGAAATGACCAAACAATTACTCAAAAATATAGAATCTATTTGTAATTTTTCCTTTTGGTATAACTTTCTTTGATTTTTAAAAGGGGAAATTATTTGGGCTTTTCTATTTCAGAGACTTAATGGATAAAATTTACGGTTCCTGGATCAGTTTCAAGAATAAAATAAACAATTATAGTTGTAGTATTGTCAGTCTGGAGGAGTTTGTTATGTAGTGACTGATATATCTATGATAATGCTGCTTCATATTCCTAACTCACAGTTTAAATCCTACTTTATCAGTTCATGATTCAATTAGAAGCAAGGATTTAGAGTTCCTCTTTGAGGCAATACAAAAGTAGAATGAAGTAATTGAAAAAGTGCTAATCAGTAAGTAAATAAAATTGTAAAAGAGAGCAACAAGCTCTCACGTGTAATATTTCCAGCTGAATCCATGCATTAAATATTCCTGAAGTTAGCTGGACCATTTCCTCATCAACAAAATCCTTTCATTAAAGGCTCCTGAGAAAACTTGGAAGTCATCAGAGAAGAGAATGTGTTTGTGCATGTCTGAATGCAATTCCCATCTATGAGCCTGAAGAAGAAGCAATTCCAGTCAGAACATAGGTTTAAAGGTTTCCCCTGTCCAGTTGTGACTGACTCAAGAGGGCGGTGCTCATCTGATCCTCAGCCAAGGGAGCCTGTGTTATCTGAGACCTTTCCATCATCATGTGGCCAGCATGAAAGTACAGAATTCAGTAACCTTCTCACCGAAGTGTACCTATTTATCTACTCACATTTACATGCTTTTGAACTGCCAGGTTGGCAGGAGCTGTGACAAGCAAAGAGAGCTCACCTTATTGCACGAAACCCAGGTCTCAGGCTGCAGATGATAACCACAACATCTTTGAACTGCTGAGCCATCGCGCCACCCAGTCACAACATGTGACTAAATCCTAAAAAAAGATTTATTTGATGAGGGATCATACTTGTCTGAGTCAAGCTTTTATTCTTATCCCTGACTGAATTCCACTGAATCTCTTATCAGTTAAAAAATAGGGAGCAGGAAGCTGAAGAAATGTCACTTCTTGCAATGGAGGGATGTGATACAAAATACTTGGTGTAAAAATAAAGATTCACAGTAAAAAAAAGTATAAGGATCTCCCTCACTCATAATGGCAAATAGCTGTATATTGAAACAAGTAACTCTAATTTCATATATTAATATGTACTCTACAAGTAGTCCTCGAAGTACAACCACAGTTGAGCCCAAAATTTCTATTGCTAAGTGAAAAGGTTATTAAGTGAGTTTTGCCCCATTTTATGATCTATCTTGCCAGAATTGTTAAGTGAATAACTGCAGTTATTAAGTTAGTAACATGGTTAAATGAATCTGACTTCGGAATTGACTTTGCTTGTCAGAAGATTGTGAAAGGTGATCACGTGACACTGCAACTGTCATAAATAGGAGTCAGTTGACAAATGTCTGAATTTTGCTCATGTGACCATGAGGATGCTGCAATGGTCATAAGTGTGAAAAACGGTCATAAGTCACTTTTTTCAGTGCCATTGTAACTTCAAATGATCACTAAACTAATGGTTGTAAGCTGAGGACTATGTGTATATTAACATAGCACATGTACCTATTCTATCTGACTCCACTATAGTCTAGTCTATATGGAGTTTCAGCTGAAAGAGCCTGGCCAACGAAGAGATCTTTGGATCATCCAACTTCGTCCATCATCCCAATGTGAAATTGCTGTGAATGGGGAAATTATATATTGAAGATCCTCAAGGAAGCAGAATAACAGAAGAGTTGACTTGGAGATCTAGTCCAACCCCCTGCTAAGGCAGGACACCCTACACCATTCTGGACAAATGGCTCTGTCCAGTCACTTCTTTAAAACCTCCAGTGATGGAACACTCACAACTTCTGAAGGAAAGATGTTCCTCTGAGTAAGTGTTCTCACATGCCGTTTTCCTGTTCTTTGTACAGAAGTCAGGGTAGGCAACCTTGGCTCTTTTATGACTCGTGGACTTCAACTCCCAGAATTCCTGAGCCAGCCATGCTGGCTCAGGAATTCTGGGAGTTGAAGTCCACGAGTCATAAAAGAGCCAAGGTTGCCTACCCCTTACTGTAATTCTAATTTAAGAGCAATGAATATATTTGAGAAAAGAGGAAAAGGAACATTGCTTCTTTTGAGAGTGAATACTGTGGGGTGGCCCTTGGTGCTCTCTGAGCTTGCTTGTTTTCTTGCGGACATTTCATTACTCAAACTAGGTAACATCATCAGTGCTAGTGAGCAAGAAAACAAGCGAGCTCAGAGAGCACCAAGGAGCCCTCATTTCAACCCTGAGCTTCAAACATTCTTAGTGCGTGACGGAAGGAGAATATAGTCTCCTACTGATTCTACCTTTAATAGGAACACGTGGCAGAACTTGAGGGAGAAGCAATTCCTGTTACAACATACGTCTTATGTAAAAGATTTCTCCTTTGCGAAGTTGTAATGCTTGTCTGTGTCAATGTTTTATTATTAAGTCTGAATTAAGTTCAAGTCCCAGTGGCAAACCCAAGACTTCTGCATTACTCTTATAAGGTAATGTCTTTGGTGGGGTAAGCCATCCCCAGGGATCTGACAGAGAGAAAAGGCTTGAGGAGTTCCTCCTGCTTTACATAGTGATCCAGGCTTCCTGCTAAAATCAGCACCAGGAAATATGCCATAGGAGCTAAAAACATTCAGAAGCATTAATGATATGGAGTAAATACCCACAGAGCAAAGGCAGAAATAATAATTTGATTACTTCTTATTAGAAAAGGTAAAGATCATTTGAGGATCTAACTTTAAATATGAGCTATATTTTTTTTAAAAAAAAAAACCCAATACTTATGTTCATCTCTGAAAC